TTTATTCTAACTGTATTTTAAAATTAATATATATATATTTATATCAAAAATACACTTAGAATGAATTTGTATATATATCTATGTATATAAAATAAATAAAAATAATACGAAATATACATATGTCCATATACAAAATTACATAAATAATTATAGTAAATATACACGTAGACTTCAAATATATAAATATGCATATATATTTAAATTCTACGTGCGTATTTATGTAATATTTTTACATAATTCAGTAATTTTATTGATTGCAATTTGAGGGACCTGCCTGCCAACCCAGGCCGAAAGTCCAGAGAATTTAATTTGCTAGCACTGTATTTTACCCTGTAACGTTCTACGACACCCTAAAACCTGTACATGGGGGGTACTGTTTTACTCGGGAGACTTCGCTGAACACAAATATTAGTGATTCAAAACAGTAAAACATATCACAGCGATGATATTGTCAGTGAAAGTTACTTTTTTTGCATTTTTCACACACAAACAGCACTTTTACTGATGATATAATTGTTGTGATACGTTTTCCAGTTTTTAAACACTAATATTTGTGTTCAGCGATGTCTCCCGAGTAAAACAGTACCCCCCATGTACAGGTTTTATAGCATTTTTGAAAGTTACAAGGTCAAATACATGGGTCAAATATTTTTACATTGAAAATGGCCAGGTTGGTTACGTTGCCTTTGAGAGCGTATGGTAGCCCAGGAATGAGAATTACCCCCATGATGGCATACCATTTGCAAAAGAAGACAACCCAAGGTATTGCAAATGGGGTATGTCCAGTCTTTTTTAGTAACCACTTGGTCACAAACACTGGCCAAAATTAGCGTTCAATTTAGTTTTTTTACTTTTTCACACACAAACAAATATGAATGCTTACATTGGCCAGTGTTTTCGACTAAGTGGCTACTAAAAAAGACTGGACATAACCCATATTGAATACCCTGGGTTGTCTACTTTAAAAAAAATATGTACATGTGGGGTGTTATTCAGAGATTTATGACAGATAATAGTGTTACAATGTCACTATTGATAAATTTTAAAAATGCATGTTTTGAAACCGCAATATCCTACTTGTACCTATAGCCCTATAACATGCAAAAAAAAGCAAAAAAGCTCGTAAACACTAGGTATTTTTAAACTCAGGACAAAAATTTTAATCTATTTAGCAGTTTTTTTCATTCGCTTTTGTAGATGAGTAAAAGATTTTTCAAGTAAAAGTCAAAAAACATGTATTTTTTTCAATTTTTCATCATATTTTTTTATTTTTTTAAAATTAAAATACATGAGATTATATAAATAATGGTATGTAAAGAAAGCCCCTTTTGTCCTGAAAAAACAATATATAATTTGTATGGGAACAGTAAATGAGAGAGCGGAAAATTACAGCTAAACACAAACACCAGAAAAGTGTAAAAATATTCCTGGTCGCAAATGTACAACATCGCAAAAACAGTCCAGTCCTTAAGGGGTTAAAGAAACTGGGCATCAGAAGAGCAGCAGGAGATAGAAACCTGATGCCAGAGCCTGTACTGCACGGATCACGCTGATCAGACTCCCTCTCTTCTTCCCCTGCCAGATGTTGAAGGTGAAGTGATCATCCAACTGCACATGTGTAAATCTGTCAGGTATGTCCAATGCACTTTTCCAGAACTCATAAGGATAGGATACTGTTTGGTTAGATCAGTATCCCCCCCAGGAGTGGAAGTGTAAAACATAAAAAAAGAAGAAGCAGCTAAATACTAAATATGAAAAGAAAAAAAATATTTACCTGCTTTTTTCGGCCTGCAGAGTGAGGCAACTGTGTCAGTCAAAGCTAAAGCTTTTAAATGAGACAACTGTCTCAAAGTGATAATTGTCCCTTTAAAAAAAATAGTCTGCTTGTTATATCGGGGATTGTTTGGGCTTTTTTTAGAACAGTTCATGCATTTTCACACCAATAATGACTTGCTTTTAAATTTATACGAATAATAATATTTTGAATTAAAAGAAAGGACAAAAATACATAACATTCTTGAGTAAGTGAATTAGCAAGAAAAAAAAAATAAACAGTACAATTAGCATTCTTTGAAATCTAACATGGCATTGAGGGTGATGTAATTTAATTGAGAATGTACAAGATCACAAATTAAAGTCCAGCGGGTTTTTTTTATTTTTGTCAATGCAAAGAAATGTCTTTGATGAGTCTAATTAGAATTGTGAATTTAAATATTAAGATATGCATGAGAATAAAAATGAAAAAGCAATTGGAGTCAGCCTATCTTGATTAGTACAGCAAATGCATAAAAAAATTGCCAAGGGCTTAAATATGTAACCATTTTTGTTCTGAAAGTCTTATTTGGTGTTACTGTAGCACGCTGGAGTTTAAGAATATTTTCCATTTGTTACTTACAGTGAAAGTGTCATTAATTGAATTGTTGTTTTCGGTTATTTCAATACATCCCCTGCAGGAAAGTCTAGATAAGATTTATTTGCGCACACAATAAAACTTGGAGTAAACCATGAATACTTATATTCATAAAACTGAGTACTAGACTCTGGTATAAAATTTGTAGAGATGGTAAAAACAGTCATGTTCCCTCTTTTGTAGTGTAAAGACTTCTGGGGGTACTACAAGGACAAGTAAAAACATATTTTTGGCATATTTGTTGTAATTCCGATCACTTTTACGTTCTGGGTCACCCTTTATTCATTTTAACACATCCTGCATGTCTTTCCATTCTGGATGTCTTACTTAGTAAGAAATTGATACACAAGACGCTGCAATGTTGTATTTAACTTTCTGTGTACGTCACTGGTTTCACAATTTGGGATCATCTACTTGATAGCAGTTTGCTAATTATCAATGCTTTCAGTTGCATTATATGTAAGAAATATTGGAATATGCATCTGTCTTATTGACCTTTGGACCTTTAATATAAAATATATAAAAAGGTGACCTTTAATATAAAATATATAAAAAGGAGTTTGTAGGGGTCACTTTATCAGAATGTCTGAGTAATTAACATGTATCCCAAGTCATCTTGTCTCTAAATCTGAGGAATACTCAACCTACCCAAAAACCGACCCTAAACCTACCCAAAAACCCACCCTAACTGGTCACATCTTATACTTCTGGATTGAAGAGAAGAAATGGCAAACTTATATAAAGTCAGAAAAGTTCTGGAGTGAGTAGATCAGCCAAGGAGGTCAGCCTGGGGAGAAACTGCTGCTCTGACCAGGTAAGTGTGGAAAGGGCTATTTAGCAGCATGGAGGACAGAGGGAACTATGCCAAATAGAAGTATAATTAATGAAAATCCTATTGTATTGTATTTATTGTGTTTACGGCTTGTGTTAATGCAATGTTTTATGTTTATACTTAGGCTAAAACCGTAACAGTATCCTAATTTAACAACCAATATCAATGTAGATGTAATTTTTACACACTTGTCTGCGTGTTTATTTGACCACATTTTCTAAAGAATAACCTTGTAAGGGGGTCAGCTGCATCTAATTAGTAGGCTGTAAAAGCCAGCCTTGCCTGAAACCTAGCATCTGGTCATTTTGCCTGTTTGGTGTTTCCTGCCGGATCTCTGCTTCGCTACTGACTGATTTTCTGGACTCTGACCTCTGCCTGCTTTACCGACTACGCTGCCAGCCTTGACTTCTGCTTATCGTCTGACGCTGCCTTTCGATTTCCCTGTAATTTATATTGTGCTTCTGGTTTTTGCCTCCTCCTTGTGCCACCTGCAACTGGGCTCCAACTCCTGGTAAACTGTTACAAAGAAAGACATACAAGAAATAACAGCATGGCAGGGGAGGGACTGACATACTGATATATATCAGGTTGAGGTAATGGCTGAACTATTTGAAATAGTGGGCTTTCACAGATCTGTATGCTATGTTTTCCTCCACGCTTGCTTGAAGAACTCTGTTACATCCACCAGGAAGAATTCAAATCTTTTATTCTGAACCAAAGACGACTAGACAAGTGCATAAACATGGTAATAGTTATAGAACACTGACTTTTTGGGGGCCTGTATAATGGCCTGAATTACTGGACCAAACAGAATCTTCAATCTGAGCATGCCCCTCATTTTCTAAGTGGTAAGTCTGACAATTCCTAAATGAGAATGAATGATAAGACTGTGTGAGTAGATCTAGAATGCGAGATAACTCCTACAGTGGATCTACTGCCAGTCTCCATATCATGAGTACCTGTAGGCTGCAGGACCAAAAGGAAAGAATAGTGTTAACCATTGCTTTCTTCAGTATGATTACTGCATATAATTTGAGGTTGATGGAATTAGATAAAATAAGTACTGAAGCTGAACTGCCACAGATTTGTTTAAAAACCACTGTGGCACTATAATTTCATTGCAATGAAATTGCAACAGTGTAAAGAGGTACAAAGTGCCACCTTAGCTTAAGGTGTTACACCATTAACAAATTATTTACTCCCAAACGATTACTCAGCTACTTCTTGGTCCGAGGCATCAATCACAATGCCTCAGACCAGGTGCCATTTACACTCTCAGACCATCACCAGCTCCCATTCAGAAAACATAGTGAAAAAGATACATACCCAATGGCACCCAGATCCTCCTTGCACCATATCAGTCTCATTATAATAACGCTGTTATGGTGCTCGGAGTAGTCCTTAAGCACTTTTGCATAACATAATCAAAATGTTTGATATTATAAATTGGTGTTGATTACAAGCCAAATCTGAAATACATGTAAAATAAGAGTTTGGCAGCGTGGATAAGTAGTCCACAAAAAATATATGGATGCTGTCAGCAAAGATCTATTCATCTCTGTAAACCTATGTTTCAATAGCCAGACCACTGAAATACACCATAAGAAAACCTATGTTTCAATAGCCAGACCACTGAAATACACCATAAGAAAATGATTTAAAGATTAAATTCTCACCAAATCAGTTATATAGCAATACAGTAGTGAAGATATAAAAAGCCATAGGAAATCAACAAATAAATAAATACAGGACACTAAGTTAAAGACTGTTTTTTTTTTTTATTGCAGAGAAGGTAGTTTGAAGAATCGATAATTTACTATAAGGTAATAGGTAGCAAGTTTCCTTTACTTTTATTAGAAAACACATGACAAATATTACTTTTGGTATGATTTGCAATTCCACACAATATTGCACATTATTTCTACAGTTTTCTTCCTAAAATACCAGGCTGTAAACCAATTAAATAAACAAAAAGGACTAATTAAACTTAAATGTTTACGTGGTAATCCTTAAATCTCAGATTACTTGAAAATATTTAACAAAAATGTTATTAATTTAAAAAAGTTCCCTCTTACTAGGAAGTAAATAACAAAATGTAAAATATTATGAATTCCCAGAAGAACTCATTTGGTCTTTGAAAATTCACTGTGAAACACATTTACCAAGGCCATCTTCTGATAATTTGCCAGAAAAAAAAAAAAATAACCGTACCTATGATTATGTACCAAATAGAGCTCTTTGGCACATAGCAAAACAAGCAGTGTCAAACTTTCAAATATTAAAATATAATTCAACTGCTTTGTCCAAAGCTATGGCTATAAAAGCAAACTATAATTGTTCGATATATTTGCTTCAGCATCCCTGTCTTTGTCAAAAGTGTCATAAATGTCACATGCTAGCAGGTAGCACTTTAAATAGTTCATGTATTAGCCTCCATTATTGTAATTAATTATATTTTTAGTGTAGTGCTACATATAGTTGGGCATTTTAATTGCATGATTTGATAAGACTATATTAATTTAAAAAAAAAAACCCTATGGCAATATTAAAGAAATTAAATAATGTATACAGTGTGAATGTTTGCTAAGGATATTAGAGCAGGGGGGAAAAAAAAAGGTTTTACAAGTTCTTGGCACACCAGCCTTTGTGAAACACTGTATGCAAATTAAACAATGAGTTTAACCCTATTTTGTTACATGTAATTGACCTTCATATCTTGAAATGTACTCTTGTAATTCTGCCACTGCAATGATTTTATACCATACATTCACATTTTAACTACAATAACATTTACCCTATAGAAGAAGAAGAAGAAAAAAAAAAAAAAAGAAACTAATATATACTTTGTTAGCATGTGCAGCATAAGGACAAAACAAATAAGTTACACACTGGATACTATTTCCATCTAAAGCAAATTGTAAAAGTGAAAGAAGTCTATCACCACCCAAAAAAATAATAAAAAAAGCACAAACTAAAAATACATAATTTTATGTGAGAAAATTCAACAAGGCACAATGTTTTTTTTTTTTTTTTTTATTCTCATTGAGTTAACGGGAAGGCGGAAGTGGAAAAATATCTTGAAACACTTATTTACTTAAATCTAAGTAAATTCTTTTTAAAATTCTTTTTATATATATATACACACACACACACACACCTTTTAAAACGTACTCCTCTTTGTAAATTTACAATTTGATTTCACTCACATACATTTTATAAATCCAATACTGACCACGTTTAGCGTTTCAAATCAGTGAGACATGTTGCAAATAGGGTGCTATTTCTTGAATAATACAGTAGAAAAAAAAAAAATCTTCTTTAATGTCTCCAAAAGTACACATACCAAACTGCATTAACATGCACTGGCCTCAGTCTTCGTATGCACCGACCATAGTCGGTATAGTTTTGTACTTGTTACTGTGGGGATTTCTTTCCACTGGATGGAATTTTATCAGCTAATTTTTGAACAAGTGCATCATGGTCCATTCCAATGCTGGCTAGGATTCCACCTTCATTCCCATCCGATCCTGTATAAATAATTTCTTCACCTTTAAGTGTAGTCATGTGACCACCAAGAGCATTCAATATTGCATTACCGGCACAAATGTCCCATTTCTTGATGAAAGTTACATGAATGTAAACATCAGCGTGTTCTTGTTTCTCTTCTTTCACATCAAGCAATGAAAGAACTTTATAACCTAAAATAAAAATAAAAATCTCCATTCGTGTGTAGTTTAACATAAACAACTCTACAAATAAAATAAGTAAACATGCATGTAAGATCCCCAGTGAAATGTGAAAGGCCCATTTCATTGTTAAATGTGGATATAAAAGTTTGCTCATCAGTAATTCCTGCCAGATTAAGTAATATTATACATTATGACCAAGTTGGGTTTGTGGCAACTAGGTACCTGATATATAACATTAGGAGACCTGTTGATATTGTAGATATGGCTCACAGGACAGGTGTGACCCTCCAAGCTCTGTTGTTGTAGGCTGAAAAAGTCTTCAACAGTCAGGTGGATTATCTTGGGTTAGCCCTGGAAGCATTTGGTCTTCGTGATACTATTACTAGATCTATAATGGTTCTATATACCTCTCCGACAGCCAGAGTAGTTGGGAGTGTTTTTCTTCTGACTGGTTCCATCAAAAGAATGGGATCAGGCAGGGGTGCCCACTCTCCCAACTTTTATATCTTATGGCAACTGAGCCATTAACATGGTTAATAAGGGCTAATGATCAAATTAAAGGCTTGCATGTTTTAAGTGATTGCATTAAATTCACCATGTTCACAAATGAACTGGTACTTACCCTTGGTAACCCACTGAAATCTATGAATGAATTAATGTTGTCCAAAGAGGAGTTTTTACTGTACCCAGGATATAAACTGAACCTCAATAAATATGCTTCATTTCACTTAACTTGTCTTAAAGGATCAATCACCGAAAAATTTGCTTTTGACTGTGCTTTAAAAAGCTAAATGAGTGTAAAAATAGGTATGTATCATTGTGGTTGAGAATCAATACTGTAAAGTCTTATAGTCCCCCAAAATGGGTATACATTTTTCGCATGGTATCTCTACCTTGTCCAGACAGCTGGATGATGCTGGCTGAGTCCACTTTTAATAAACTACTCTGGTTGGGGAAGTGCCCACAAATTTGTCAAATCGCCTCTCCCTAAAAGTCAAGTTGGGTGGTCTGGATGTACCCCAGCAAAGGAACTACCAGAACGCCTGCACCTTATCACACGTCTCCATTACTCAATCAGATAGTGCCAAAGTGGAACAATTATATGAAATTAGGGATCAACCGATATTGATTTTTTTAGAGCCGATACTGATAATCTTAACTTTCAGGCTGATAACTTGCCGATATTCTGTACATTTACCATTTTGAAAAAATAAACTAATTCTAAAGGTAAATGCACAAAATATACATGCCACATGTAGTGGATGAAGTGTGTTTAGACAGGGGAGATGTGTGTGTTTGTGTATTGAATGCAGTGAGTGTTTGTGTAGTGTGTATATATAGTGAATGCAGTGAGTATTTGTGTAGTGTGTGTATATATAGTGAATGCAGAGTGTGTGTTTGTGTAGTGTGTATAGTAAATGCAGTGTGTGTGGTGTGGGTAAAGTGAATACATTGTGTGTATATATAATGCAGTGTGTGTGTGTTTGTGTAGTGTGTATATAATGCAGAGAGTGTGTGTGTATATATAATGCAGAGTGAGTGTATATAATGCAGAGTGAGTGTATGTATGTATATAATGCAGAGTGAGTGTGTGTATGTATATAATGCATTGTGTGTGTGTGTATATAATGCAGTGTGTGTGTGTATAATGCAGAGTGTGTGTGTGTATAATGCAGAGTGTGTGTGTGTATAATGCAGAGTGTGTGTGTGTATAATGCAGAGTGTGTGTGTGTATAATGCAGAGTGTGTGTGCGTATAATGTGTGTATATGTATATAATGCAGAGTGTGTGTGTATGTGTGTATATAATGCAGAGTGTGTGTGTGTGTGTGTGTATATATATAATGCAGAGTGTGTGTGTGTGTGTGTGTATATATATAATGCAGAGTGTGTGTATATAATGCAGAGTGTGTGTATATAATGCAGAGTGTGTGTGTGTGTATATATATATATATATATATATATATATATATATATATAAAATGCAGAGTGTGTGTGTATATAATGCAGAGTGTGTGTTTGTGTAGTGTGTGTATATAATGCAGTGTGTGTGTGTGTGTGTAGAGATGTAATTTGTGTAAAATGGAGTGGAGGGGGTATTTTATTTTATTTTAGCAGGGAAGGGGGGGGGCAGGGAGAATATAGTATTCCCTGGTGGTCCGGTGGCTTGTTAAGCACTGTGGGGGGCCAGCAGCAAGCCGTTACTTACCTCCCGGCAGCTCCCTGTGTAAATCTCGCGGCTCTTAGTGCCATGGCAACGCACTGCGGCCGCTGGACTCGCGAGATTTGACATGGGAGATGAAGGGAGCTGCTGGAAAGGTAAGTAACCGCTTGCTGCCGGCCCCGCAGGACAGCCGGGCTTGTAATGGGCCCGGTGGTCCTGGTATATATTATCGGCAATATCGGTATCTATGTTGGTCGATACTGATATTGCCGAAAATACCAAATAGCAGTAAAACCGATTTTCCTTTATTTTGGTTAATTAAGGATAGAAAGCAATGTTTGCTAAAAATGAAATCTGATAATTTAATTCGTAACATTGTGTCCTATTTGGAGAAATTTAAAAGAGACATGTCACTCCAGGAAAAAAGTATTACATGCCTTCCTTTAATGCACTTAACTTATAATATGCTTGACTTCAACGTGCAAAATTGGACCAAAGTAGGCTTGGTAAATATAGACAATTTAATGAGTAACAACAGCAACAGGAAGGATTCTCCTTGCTGAGTGTCTAGTGCAACTTGGATTGCAGAGAGGTTTTTAAATTACTTAAATGGACACTATAGTCACCTGAACAACTTCAGCTTAATGAGGTTGTTCACGTGAGAATAGGTCCCTGCAGCCTCTCTCATGTAAACACTGTATTTTCTGAGAAAATACAGTGTTTACCTTGGAAGCTAGGAACACCTCCAGTGGCAGTTACTCAGACGTCCACCAGAGGGACTTCAGAGCGGTCTAATTCGCATTCATCACGTTTCAAGTCTTCACGCTTGGGTGAATACATCAAACGTGATATCAGGAGAAGGGAGTCAATGTGAAAGCGCCTACTGTGTCCTGTAGTTAACCCCGGAGCCTGTTAGCAATCAGAGCCGACAGTTTGGGGAGATAAGACACACAGCGCATCTGGCTGACAGGCAAAAGACTGAGCAGGAGGATCCAAACCGTAAGTAAACTTATCTTGTGAGTGTGGGTGAGAGTGTGAGAGAGAGTGAGTGTGAGAGAAAGATAGAGATAGATAGTATTAGATAGATAGTATTAAATTGAAAGAAATAGATAGTGTGTGTATGTTCAACAATTTTTATTTTCAATGTGTGTGTTTGTGTACAAACACTATATATAGAGATCTCTCTATATATAGTTTTTGTATACTTTATACATTGGGCTGGAGGGTTGCGGGCATAGACATGGAGCTGAGCTGTCAGTCAGCTCAGCTCGCGAAAGCTCATACCGCGCATATGCGGACAGTTTGGGTACGCTACATCCTCACCAGGTGAATTGGTATGTCTTATGAATATTTCCATCATATAATTTGCTGTATTCCACAAGCCCCACTCTTTCTACTCCATTCTCCCAAACTGCAATGTGTTTTTTTTTACTCCAAAAACACTGCTCTTTGATTCCTATCACGCATATTACTATTATGTTTCCGATCACAAATATATATGGAAATATTTATTTGTGGTCGGAAACATAATAGTAATAGCTGTGCACCCCGCCACTTCCTAAGCTCCCCCGCCCCCATGTCCTCCCTTACTCTATGAGGGTCAATATGATCCCCCATATAAGCATTAGAGATTGAAATCTCCCGAATGCCCCTACTCGCAATGCCACGAGTAGGGGCATGTCTACTAAACAGTGAGCAGCCTGTGGGTGCTCACAAGGGATCGACCGATATTGATTTTTTAGAGCCAATACCGATACTCTGTGAACTTTCAGGCAGATAGCCAATATAATTTGCCGATATTCTGTACATTTACCATTTTGGAAAATAAAAATTATTTCTAAAGGTTAAATGCACAAAATATACACGCCACGTGTAGTGGATGCAGTGTGTTTAGACAGAGGAGCTGTGTGTGTTTGTGTAGTGTGTGTGTGTAGTGGATGCAGTGTGTGTGTGTGTAGTGTGTGTGTGTGTAGTGGATGCAGTGTGTGTTTGTGTAGTGTGTGTGTAGTGGATGCAGTGTGTGTGTGTGTAGTATGTGTGTGTGTAGTGTGTGTGTAGTGGATGCAGTGTGTGTATATAATGAAAGCAGAGTGTTTGTGTAGTGTGTGGGTAGTGTGCGTAAAGTGAATGCTGTATACTAAATGCTAAGTGTGTGTTTATAATGAATGCAGACTGTGTATTTGTGTAGTGTGTGTATAGTGAATGTAGTGTGTTTATACAAACACACACACACTCTGCATTATATAGTGTGTGTATATATAATGCAGTGTGTTTGTGTAGTGTGCATTATATAAACACACTACACAAACACACTGCATTATATACACAGTGTGTTTGTATAGTGTATGTGTGTATAATGGAGTGTGTGTGTGAGGGGGCATTTTTTATTAAATTATTATTTCTTTATATTTAATTATTATTTATTTTTGTTGTCCCCCCTCCCTGCTTGTTGCCTGGTCAGGGAGGGGGGATATAGCAGTCCAGTGGCATTGGCTGAGTTGTGGGGGGGCGGGCAGCAAGCGTTTACTCACCTCCCAGCAGCTCCTTCAGCTCCCAAGTGTAAGTCTCGCGGCCAGCATGCCGGGTCTCGCGAGATTTACACTTGGGAGCTGCTGGTAGGTGAGTAAGCGCTTGCTGCCCGCCCCCCCAGGGCTGCCGAGTTTGTAATGAGCCTGGCGGTCCAAGGAGGTATTATCAGCAACATCGGTATCTGAATTGGCCAATACCGATATTGCCGAAAATACCGAATATCGGCCGATTATTTCAGTAAAACCGATAATCGGTCTATTCCTAGTACTCACTGTTGTAAAAATAACCCCACCCCCCTTCCAACAAAGGGCCCCATGGTGAAGCATTAACTAGCAAGGCTTGTTAACTAACTGGCTTGGAATCCAACCAATCAAATTGCACTGAGTCATTTTACACAGCGTGGGAAAATTCCAAAGAACTGTAAAATAACTAGCACTCTGATTGGTTGGATTCCAAGTCAACCAATCAGAGTGCTCTGAGTCAAATTGCAGGGCGTGGGAAGGCTTTATAAGCCTTTCCACGCCCTTCGGAGTTCAGTCTGCGCCGTGCTCTTGCCGGGTGAAGATGGATACATTTTTAGCATTGGGTGGGGGGCTTCCAGCTGATTTTGGGTTTTTTTGCTCTGGTTTTTTGTTTGTTTTGTTTTTCTATAAGTTTGACGGGTATTATGTTTTTTTTTTATTTGGCCTTTTTTGGGAGCTAAAAAAAAAAAAAAGAAGACTTCTAATGGTAAGTATGATTTTTTTCCCCCCAGGTATTTGGTTTTATTGTCTCCCCCTCACTATTTTTAAGGTGAGGGGGGTAGGTAGGGATTTATTTAATTTTATTTTGGTGGGGGGGTTTGGGGGGAGTAATTTTACACTTAGCCCCTACCCGTCGCCCATGAGTGGGGTCAGGACAATAGGTTTCCCCCCCCATTTTCATTTAGTGGCCCCACCTGCCGCCCAGGGGGAGGACAATAGGTTAGGTCCCCCCCTATTGTAATTTAGGGCCCCCACCCGCCGCTCATGGATGAGGGCAGGGTGGACAAAAGGCCCCCCCCCCATTTTTAATTTAGGGCCCCCACCCGCCACTCATGAGTGGGGGCCGGGGGAGGACAATAGGTGTCCCCCGCCCCATTGTAATTAAGGGTCCTCACCCGCCGCTCATGGGTGAGACACGGGGGGGGGACGGGACGATAGGTCCCCCCATTGTCATTTAGGGCCCCCACCCGCTACTCATGGGTGGGGGCCGGGGAGGGCAATAGGTCCCCCTTCAGTTTAATAGCCACCACTCGCGCGGCACGAGTGGGGAGACACTAGGGTGTTCTTTTGTTTTGTTTTCTAAACAGGTTTTTTGCTCACTGTTTAGTAAACATGTCCCTACTCGCGATATAGCGAGTATGGGCAGAATTTACTAATACTAAGTAATCTTTACTTAATATTAGTAGATTTGGCTGAAAGACCAATCTAGGTCTTTCAGCCTTTTGGTAGATAACTTCCTAAGACCGTGGGAATTAGAGAGCTATCTACTAAGCGGCTGCAAGATGCATTCGCGGTACGAATAGGATCGTAGTTTCATTAATTTGAATGAAATTCGGATTCTAATAAAGTCACGAATTGCGTCCTAACATGAATGGAGAAACTGTTCTCATTCTGTTAGGATGAAATTCGATAGTTTCGTTCTGTGTAAAATGACAGGATGTTCGAGAATACTATCAGGAAGCATCGCAAGATCAGGGAAGAAAGGTGAGAATTGGGGGATAATTGCATTGACCACAGGAAATGGAGCACACTTTGTTTCTCTGCTGGTCAAGCATAGGACACCTCCATAAGACAAATAGCCCCTACTTTTGTCTTAAGATTTAAAGCAAACTAGAGCAGTCAGGAAGAAATTTAAAAACTCTGTGGGAGAAGCAAGTCTTATGGCTTTACTGGTGTGCAGATCTGCGTTTAACAATCTATTAGCTATCCACTGACTTCAGGTGGAAGGGGTTTTCAATCAATTCTTCCCCACCATAACGCTCTAGAGGTATGCTGGGCAAATAGAAGGGAAAGACAAGGAAAACTGCCATAAAAAGGGTGCAAATTAGGGGGGAAAGCAATGAAGGAAGGTCAGGTGAGAAGGCCTAGAACATTAAAGGATAAGGACAGAAATAAGGGGGAGAATAGTAAATACTAGCATAGCAAAAATGGTTAAATGGGAAGCTAGAATTCTAAATCATTTGAAGAAATTGCATTTTAGCTTAAATTTAAATATATATGAGTTGGAACCAGTTACATCAGTTAAAGTAATGTAGTGCATATGTATACATTTAATAGAAATATAAATGTGTTTATGTGCTACATAAACAATGAACAGAGAATTGATTTCCCAATACACAGTAGATAATGGATCGGCATACGCTACAAAAACAAAACTTTCAGTGACCAAAGCAGCAATTATCAAGAACAAACATGTTGCTTTCCCCCTGGGGATCAAATGTTCAGTTTTCTGCACAGACAGGTTTTGCTGCTCTACATACACACAGAAACACATGAACATATACAGATAAAACGTTTCATTGCTAAAGAACAAATTATTGGCTTTAGTAAGCCAGGTTTCTATGTGAATGTCATACCTGATCCTCCGGCAGAAATTATTTCGGTCTTGTTACCAAATGTTTCACGGGTTACTTCTTTCACCACCCCAGAATGAGAACGGGACACAATGATGGTTGGAGTTTTCAGGTTATACGACCTACGTCTTAGTATGTTTGAGCCACCACTTACCATCGCCCAAGCTGCGGAATGAGAGGAATCACAATGAACATAGTCAAGGAAAAGAGTGAAATATTTGTAATGTAATATCCAACACTGACTTTCGCAAAAATAAATAAGCAGTCTGTTAACAAAAGATGACAGTGAGTCTCCTACAAATGCTTATTGAATTTTTAAGAAAAAAATTAATTATGCAGGTTTTCTCAGTTAAGCTAAACACAAACCTCTCCATTTTACTAAAAAAAAAAAAAAAAAAAAATTAACACAATCATGTTGCCTTTCATCAAATTAGACATAAAAGCAATGGTGGTAATATGCTCTACATGGGTGGCTACCATTATTAGGACAGTAATACTACCATTTGCCGCCTACGATCTTGCACACCTTTGTGGTCTAGAAAGAAAATTCACTTGTAATATACATTATACAAAGTGATTGAATATTTGCATCTAATACATGAATTCGGAGTCAGAGTTTACAGTGCAAAGACAAGTACCATCAGAAGAGTAAACTAAAACCAAAAGTGGCATCTGCTGAAGGAATTTGATTGTCAAATGATGTCCCAGGATTGTAACAGAAAACAAAATGCCTCGATAGACAAAACCCAAATATCCTTACATAAACTTACCTGCGCCACTCAAATACTCCTGTTATAACCCCCAATACTTTCCATAATGACAGAGGTGATCCCAATCTATCACTTTTCCACAATTAGCTACAAATTTTGCATTCTTCATTTCCTCCCTGCATGATATTAAGTTAATTTAAACTCTCCTTGTACTCCCATTTTATAAACCTCCATTATAAATTCCCAAGGTTGAACATTTCCTCTCTTTAACTTCCCGCTCAACAGAAGGCATAAGGTGTGCTACATTCTAACCAGGTTATCATCTAGCACTCATACATGACAGACTCTTTACAAAAGCTTATTTTCTATAGATAGAACAAATTTATATAAAAAAATTAAAACAAAAAAGTCACTCACCAGTATAGCCTGTGAATGGTTTGTGAATTACACCGATAACTGGCTTGCCATTTACAGCAACGCACACCATTGTAGTGACATAATGAACAAGATTCTCTGAAAAGATAATAGATTCAATTAAAACATACAATAGAAAAAACAAATCTAAAGACATAGATTTACAGACAGCTGTGGAGGATCTAGGGTGGAAGACCCAGAGCAAATACTACTGCTAGGAAACCATGGGCACACTGAATGCAAAGCAAAGGGAATTTGCTGTGTGAGCAATCTCCAGTATTAGGGACAATAGAGAGCAATGATAAAGAAAACAGAGTTGGAGGCCCAGTGGTGGGCTAGTCTGTGTGGGAGCAACATATTAGAAAGGAGAGACAGCAGCATCCAGGAGAGTACTCATGGATGTGAGTGAGGGTGGTCTGTGCTAAATCCTGAGAGAGTGGGAGGGAGAGAGTACAGGAGAGTAAAGGTGGAGGGGGAGTCAGTCAGCAATACTGACAGTGGATGCTGTGAGTAAGACAAAGGGGGTGGTTGGGTAACAGTTATTTTATTATTCCTATAGCGCCGGCAAATTCCGTAGCACTGTACAATGGGAATCTAAGAGTATTACTAAGAGATAGGCAGGAAAGAGTCTGAGGGCAAACGTGGGTGCATGATACCCCATAACACAGTGTCCCACATCACTGGCAAAAAGGCCCGATATGGGAGCATGTCACCCCATTATCTCGGTTTATCTTCAAAACTTGGGGAGCATGTCACCCTGTAATATACAGCCTAAGCGCCTCTTAGCCTTTATTTTTATAGAGTGATAATCAGCAGCTTGAAAGGTAGTGCGTGAGTGTGAATATTTAACTGTGTAAGTGTGTATGCATCTGAGTTGTAAGCAAGTAGTAAAAAGGAAATTAGAAAGATAGATAAACTGTCTGTGTGGGTGTAGATATTGGTTATTGTCTACTGTAATTGGCTGCACGTTCACATCAACTATTTAGAATATGACACACAAACACCATCTCCTTAGATTTGACCGTAGAGCTTGCCCATCTCTGATGAACTGAAAGAGATGACTAAAAAAAATAAACATATATTTTCATCATTCCTAGAATTTTAATGCTACGTAGGTATGAATAGCCAAGCATGAGGCAACTGTACTATTTTAACTTCTGTTATACCTTAGGGCACTTCAACAGTTTTTGCATTTTTACAGTAGAAACTTGTTTTCATATTTTAGTATGTTATTCACCAGACGAGAAGCCACCAGAACATTTGACATGTATACTCTTTTTTAACAAATAACTGAAAATAAATCATTGTTGGGTGGTTAGAAAATTTAATAAGAGGGCCAAAAAAGGTTTTGTTTATGTAATCTAATAACAAGTTTTGGAGAATAAGTACATTGTGTGTCTAAAATCAGTAATGGGGCTTGGAAAGGCAGATAAAAAGTATTCCTTAAAAGGAATCTGCCATAATCAATGGCCAATCAGCATCTCCTTAGAGAGATGCATGGAATTAATGCATCTCTTTGGGAAAAGTTCAGTGCCTCCATTCAGAATGTAAAGACGTTTAACGTCAGTGCTACACGTTCTGCAGCATTGACCCAGGAAGCGCCTCTAGCAGCCGCCTGAGTGACTGCCACTGGAGGTGCCATAGGCAGCAATGTGAACACTTCCTTTTCTCAGGACACAAGCTGTATTTGTTCTGGTGACTACAGTGTCCCTTTAAAAGCTACTAAAAAGAATCAGTACAATAAAACAGGATTCATGACTGCTTCAAATACTTTCAGGTGTGAATTTATTCACAAAAATACTCACAGGTTGAGAATTTAAAGTGATTTTCAAATTTAAGATCAGAATAGCAGAACTAGAAGCATAGTTGACTTAGAAATTTTTTCCAGTTTGGCTAATTTGATTTTAAATTTTAAATCACCTTGAATTCTCACTTCAGTAAACAACCCTGTCAGTTCCTTCATGTGCTTAAATACCCAAAATGAATTGCTGATAAATCTTTTTTTGTTTGTTTTATCATGTGCTTCTGCAGACTTGAATTGCTTTTCTTTGCCTACAGAAGCAGTCAAGGGACAAAAAAAAAAAAAAAAATTGCAAGCACCTTATAACTCAGATCAAATATCCTATGCTACTAGCCAAAACTTAAAGGGACACTGCTCATTGAAATGGTTTGGGTGCTGTGTCCCTTTTGAACATAGTTTACATTGCAACCCTAAGTCTGCCCTCTGTGGCTGTCCTCACGTTCTGCATGAGGATATCAGTGTCAGATTTTTTCCCCTATAGGAAAGCACTGATTCAATGCTTTCCTATGGGGGGGGGTCTAGTACACTCGTGGCCTTCGCTCGTCACGGGACGTCGGAGGAGACAGAGCTTTGACCCAGCGCCGACGGATAAGGTAAGCAAATAAAGGGTCTTTATTTACCTGGTAGGAAGGGTGAGGCAGAGGGATCGGTAGTGCCAGGAATACAGCTTTAAGTTACTTGCCACTGCAAACCACAGTATGCTCACTAGGGGTGAATTTTGGAGAGTGGAAATTTTGAGCCCGGTTATATTTTTTTCAATATAGATAGATATACACACACACACATTATTATTTTATTATTTATATAGCGCCAGATTTTGTAGCGCTGTACAATGGGTGAACTAACAGACATGTAATTGTAACCAGACAACTGGACGTACAGGAACAGAGGGGTGGAGGGCCCTGCTCCATGAGCTTACATTCTAGAGGGAGTGGGTTATAGTGACACAAAGGGTAAAAGTAGGGGTAAGAAGTAGGTTGTTAGAAAAGTATTAATTGAGGGCTTAGCAGGTAATTTTTGACAGTTGCAGGAGAGGAGTCATGGAGGGTGGGGGATTAAAACCTGCTTACAGTTTAATTGATATGCTTTCTTGAAGAAGTGAGTTTTCAATGATTTTTTGAATGAGTGGAGACTGGGTGAAATTCTTACAGAGAAGGGAAGGGAGTTCCACAAAAGAGGTGCAGCCCTGGAAAAGTCTTGGAGGCGAGCGTTAGAGGTGGGAGTACGGACAAAGGACATACGTTGGTCTTTTGCAGAGCCGGGACATACTTGTGTATTAGGGAGGATAGGTAGGTTGGAGCAACATTATGTAGGGAATTGTAAGCAAGCACCAGAATTTTAAATTGAGCCCTATATCTAACTGGAAGCCAATGCAGGGATTGACAGAGCGGGGAGGCGTGAGAGGTGCGGGCAGACAGGAAAATGAGCCTCGCCGCCGCATTCATTATAGATTGCAGCAGTGCAATCTGGGAACACGTAAGACCACTGAGAAGAGTATTGCAGTAGTCCAGGCAAGAGAGAACAAGAGCATAGACCAGCACCTTAGCCGCATCCAGGGTTAAATAGGGGCCGATGAGCGCTATGTTTTTGAAATGGAAGCGTCAGGATTTGGCGATTGATTGGCCATGAGGGGTGAAGGAGAGGTTGGAGTCAAAAAGAACACCCAGGCAGCGAGCCTGCGAGGTAGAGCTGATGGTAGCGCCATTGACCAGAAGTTCTGTTTTGGACAGGTTGAGTTTAAGGAAGTGAGCAGCCATCCATTTGGAAATCGAAGAGAGGCAGTCAGAGACACGAGTCAAGATGGGCGGAGAGAGATCAGGAGAGGACAGGTAGATTTGCGTGTCATCCACATAGAAATGATAACGGAAGCCAAAGGAGCTGAGGAGTTTATCAAGGGAGGCAGCGTAGATAGAGAACATTAGGGGACCAAGGACAGAACCTTGGGGGACGCCAACAGAGAGTGGTTGGGGGGGGAAGAGGCAGAGTCAGAGAAAGAAACACTGAAAGAGCACTGGGAGAGGTGGGAGGAGCACCAGGAGAGAGCAGTATCCCGTAGACCAAAATTACGGAGAATGCGAAGAAGATATTGATGATCAACAGTGTCAAAGGCAGCAAAAAGATCAAGGAGAATTAAGATAGAGTAATGGCCGCGAGATTTAGCAGCAATTAAATAGTTGGATACTTTGATCACAGTCGTTTCGACAGAATGACCAGCGCGGAATCCAGACTGAAGGGGGTCAAGCAGAGAGTTGGTTTCGAGAAAGTCAGTCAGTCTGGTGTACACAACTCTCTCGAGGATCTTGGAGGCAAATGGCAGTAGCGAGACAGGGCGGTAGTTGGATGGGGATAGATAGAGATATATATATATATATATATATATACACACATACATACACACACACACACACACACACACACATATATATATATTTATATACACACACACACACACAGAATCTGTAAATGTTTTCACATATGTTTTAAATAAATAATCCTGGTATTGTAAAATTTCCTTTTTTCAATTCTTAATCAAGGTTGAGAGTATCAATTTGATACAATTGTGCATAATAAGAAAGACCCTGCATTAGAAGTTTGTTTATCTTGTATGTTTATAATGTGGGTTTTTTTTCACCCCATCATGAGTAACATATCTTGTGAAATACAATATAAATCGGTTTATTGCTTTCAGCCAATAAACAGCACTGCAGAGCTTAGCTCAGACAAAGAATTTGCGGCTCTCCATCATTCAAATGGAGAGTGGCATCTAGCAAAACCCAGGTAAGAAGTAAAACGGTTCAGAAACGGTCCAACTACTTACAATGGTGTGGTATCAGGGCACTTTTGTCACCATAACCACTACAACAAACTGTAGTGGTAATGGTCCTCAGAGTGTTTCTTAAAATATTTTTTAGGTGCCACCACTGCAGAAAATATTTACCTCTACAACTAATTAACATGTTAAGAATCAATTATAAATAAGCTGTGGACTTATGTTTTACTCAGTTACATAACATAAGAGTTATATAATGTAAAATGGAGTGTTGGAGAGCCTAGTTACTTTTATTCTTGCGCAATGTTTAATGTTACTTCAGGTAGGAACAAAGAGGTTTATTTACCGAACTCTGAATTACAAATAACAGCTTTGCACGCAAACAGGACATAAACACAACTTGGATAGGTTTGCCTAAATCTTTCCATTCAGTAGAGTTACTACTATTTGGACTTTAGAGAATTATTCACAAAGTAAAGATGCAATGTGTTGGTGTAGATCCCATCAATTATTGTATCATTGTCATAGCAAATAACTGATGTGATGTTTTTTTTTCTCCCAATTTATTTAAAGTCACTCATTTAGACTAAAATAAAGGAGACAGAGCCTAAGGCAAAGTAAATGGTAAAGTAAGATCAATAAGGATGTAGAATTCTCTGCCTGAATATGTGGTTTTATCAGAGTCTGTACGGATATTTAAACAAAAACTGGGTAAATTTTTTCAAAAAGTATGATATTCATGGATATAAATTTATTTATTTTTAAGTGTGGTAATGGGTTTTTTGATCCAAGGAGAGATCTGTCATTCCTGGGTCAAGAAGGATTTTTTTTGTTGCAAAATTGGAAAATGCTGCAAACTGGGTTCTTGCTTTCTTTAAGATCAACCGGAAAACAGATGTGAGAAAGGCTGACACTGTCTTTTTTTCAGTCGATGTAACTATACCTTTTTGATTGACAGTCATTAGAAGCATTGTGTTTGAGAAATAACATGGCCGTGCTTAGATCTGGCAGAGTTCAGGGGCAGCATCTAGGCACAAATACTACTACATTAAGCTATTACGAAGTAGTATATGTCCTTTTAATGGTTTGACTGCACATGCAGCTGACCTATCTTTTAATATCATCCCCATTTCATGCCTTCTATTAATACATTTACTCATGTAGCTAATACAATGCGTGACCAACCTCTTCATCAGTGTATATATCAGTTCGTGTGCATGTAGAAATGTTTATGTTGCCTAGAACGTTTACCTGTATACTCATACGTTGCATCCAGAGGATCTATCCAAATAGTAATGCTATCAGTGGGTACTGGGCTTGGATTTTGTATGATCTCCTTTATTTCTGCAGGAATATCATGATTCCACGAAACAGAATCTTCATCATCAGCTTCAATCGCCTCTTCAGTGTTCACCTGTAAAAAAACAAGGCCAGTAATTGGATATGACATGAGAAGCAGAAAAAGGGAATAAGCGATATGGGGAGGGATGCTGAGGAGTCACTCGGTCGCTTTGCACTTTCAAAAGCAAAACATTTTTATTTATTTTTTAAATTCAGTGATTTTTTTACAACTCATAGGTGATAAGAATCCTCACAGACATCTTTCTCAAAAGGGAACAAATGTTCTCAGTGAGCAGTTCAGAGGTTTTGCTAGGATGTATTTAAACTAGGGGGGGGGGGGCAAAAGGGTGATAAAACATAAATCCAATTGCCCCCCAAAACGAGGACAGAAGGTGCCTGTAGCAAGTGTGTTAAAAAATGATAAGCTTAGATTCATATCTACAAATGCTCGCAGTTTAGGGAAAAAGATCCATGAACTTGTGGCAATAATGGCAACTGATAATGTAGATTTAGTCGCTGTTACGGACACATGGCATAATGAGAAAAATGATTGGGACATAGCAATACCAGGGTACTCTTTATATAGAAAACACAGGGAAGGCAAGAAAGGGGGAGGGGTGGCCCTGTATGTGAAGGATAGCATTAAATCTAGCCTAATAAAAGTTAGTGAGGCGAACATAGAATCAGTTTGGGTTACGTTAGAATTTGGTAATCACACAGTAACTCGTGTAGGTGTTATTTACAGGCCCCCAGGACAAATAGAAGAGTTAGATAATGTACTAGTTGAGGGCAATAGCTAAAATGACAATGAAGTGGGAAGTTATCTTCAAGGGTGACTAATCTTCCTGATGTGAATTAGAAAAACTAAATAGCTGCTTGTGCCAGGAGCACACAAATTCTAAACTACCTACTGGGATTGTCTCTAAAACAAGTCGTTTGGGAGCCAGCTCGTAAAGAGGCCATACTAGATTTAGTGTTGACAAATTGAGATTTAGTATCAGATATTACTGTAGGTGAAAGTTTAGGATCCAGTGATCATCAGTCAGTGTGGTTTAATATAAGATAAGTGACAGTTACACTACACAAAAACAAAAGTTTTAGACTTTAGAAAAACTGACTTTTCTAAAATTAGAATATGTGTAAAGGAGTCATTATCAGACTGGAGCAATTTAAAGGGAGTCCAAGAGAAATTGGATTATTTAAAAGTTGCACTGCTGAAGGCAACAGAAATTTGCATTAGGCTTGTCAGTAAAAACAAAAAAATTCAAGAAACCACTGTGGTACTCCGCTGATGTGGCCAAAATAGTAAAAAAAACCTAAAAGTTAGCATTTAGTAAAAAAAAAAACAAAAAAAAACAGAGTGAGGAAGACAATGATCTATAACAGGGGTAGGCAACCTTTTAGCAGCACTGTGATGTCCCGTAGCGTGCCGGTCCTATTTTTTAAAATTGAGGTCTGTATGCTGCAGTATTCTGCTTGTGTTATTTATACTGTAATTGCTTTGTATATTTGTATTTGTGCGTATATGAGCTATTATATTGTATATGTTCAGGAGTAGTTTGTGGTATCGTGTATGATACATATGAATGTGGGCTGTGTATTGGGGCTGCTTGTGGAATTGTGTGTGTGGATGGGTATATCACATTGTGTGTTTGGTAGTGTGGGGTTGTTTGGGGTATTGCATGTGGGATTGTGTGCATGTATGTGGATTGTTAGCGGGTTACGTTTGTGCGGATTGTGTGTATGTTTGTTTATGGGCTGTTTGTATTATTTGTATGAGGGGAGGGTTATTGTGCATTTCTGTGAATATCTAGTAGTATGGGTGGCTTCCCTAGGTTCCAGTGGAGACCAGGCTGGCCAGGTACAGGTGAAGAACAGGAGCAGCAATATCCGCTGTGGGCTGCTCTACCACAGTGTGGATTCCCATTCACAAGTGCTGGGAGGAATGGACCTGAGATCACTTACTCTATGTGCTGCAATGCATAAATTGAGGATTGTCCTTTTCGTATTAGCAGATATCGGAAGTTTCACTGGGACTCATGATAGGCCAGAGCCTGTTTGGCTCTAGCAGCCTTGAGTGCTGTGCAAAGACACCTTGAGTGCCTACCCCATATCTATAAGATTAGGCAGAAAGAGGCTAAGCAAGTTATAAGAGCTTCCAAATCACACAAAGAAAAGAAAATAGCACAGTCAGTAAAAAAAATGGGACAAAACGTTTTTTAGATACATAAATGAGAAAAAAAAAAAAAAGTAAAACAAGGATTAGTTACATTAAAAACAAAAGGAAGGAAGGTATGTAGAAGAGGATAAAAGTCTAGCTGACTGCCTCAATTACAGTATATACTCGAGTATAAGTCTAGTTTTTCAGCACATTTTTTGTGCTTAAAAACCCCCACTCGACTTATACTCGAGTCACTGTCTGTAATATGGCAACTTAGAGAGCCGCGGCCGTCAGAGCCGTGGCAACAATCCGCGCGGCAACCAGACCGCGAGACTTACAGTGGAGCTGACCGGAACGGAGGAGAAGGGAGCTGACAGGAGCTGCAGGAAAGGTAAGTAAATGCTTCCTGCCGGCCCCCCACTTCACAGCCCATGCCACTGGACCACCAGGGATTAAGATAGCCCCCCTCCCTGACCGGTTAACAAGCAGGGAGGGGGGGACAAAAAAAAATTAAAATAATAAAAAAAAATAATATTAAAATTAAAATAATAAAAATGCCCTCCCCCCACCCAGTTTACACACACTACACAAACACTCACTCTTCATTATATACACACTCTGCATTATATACACAGAGTGTGTGTATATAATGCAATGTGTGTTTGTATGAGTGTGTGTGTGTATATAATGCAGAATGTGTGTTTGTATGAGTGTGTGTGTATATATAATGCAGAGTGTGTGTTTGTATAAGTGTGTGTGTTTAATGCAGAGTGTGTGTTTGTATGAGTGTGTGTGTATATAATTATAAAAATCACAGAATTTCATAGCCCCAAGTTTTACCCTCGACTTATCCACGAGGCATAGCATATTTCACAATTGTTGGTCACAAAACTGCACTCGATTTATACATGAGATCGACTTATACACGAGTATATACGGTAATATTTTTGTTCAGTATTTACAGATGAAAATTAAGGAAAGGTGCCTCAGTTAGGAAAAAGGACAAAGGAATCATTTGTTACATGCGAGTTTACAGAAGAAGAGGTTCTATTTCAACTGTCAAAAGTAAAGACAAATAAGTCAATGGGACCTGATGGAATACACCCAAAGTTATTAAAAGAGCTTAGTGGTGTACTAGCAAAACCATTAACAGATTTATTTAACCAATCATTGTTAACAGGAGTCCCAGAAGATTGGAAGTTAGCGAATGTTGTGCCCATTCATAAGAAAGGTAGTAGGAAAGAGTCAGGCAACTATAGGCCAGTAAGCCTTACTTCAGTAGTGGAGAAAGTAATGGAAACCATGTTAAAGGATAGGATTGTTGAACATCTAAAAATCACATGGATTTCAAGATCAGAGGCAACATGGGTTTACTTCAGGGAGATCATGCCAAAATAATGTTATTGATTTTTGTGATTGGGTAACTAAAATAATAGCTCAGGGTGATGCAGTAGACATTGCTTACCTAGATTTCAAAAAGGCATTTGACACTGTTGCACATAGAAGGCTTATCAATAACCTGCAATCTTTAAGTTTGGATTCCAATATTGTTGAATGGGTAAGGCAGTGGCTGAGTGACAGGCAACAGAGGGTTGTAGTCAATGGAGTGTATTCAAAGCATGGGCTTGTCACCAGTGGGGTACCTCAGGGATCTGTACTTTGACCCATTCTCTTTAATATTTTTATTAGTGATATCTGGAAAAGGTGTTGATGGTAAGGTATTTCTTTTTGCTGATGATACTAAGATATGCAACAGGGTTGATGTTCCATGAGGGATAAGCCAAATGGAAAATGATTTAGGTAAACTAGAAAAATGGTCAGAATTGTGGCAACTGACATTTAATGTGGATAAGTACAAGACAATGTATCTTGGACGTAAAACCCAAGGGCAGAGTACAGAATATTTGATAGAGTCCTAACCTCAACACCCGAGGAAAGGGATTTAGGGGTTATTATTTCTTAAGACTTAAGGTAGGCAGACAACGTAATAGAGCAGCAGGAAATGCTAGCAGAATGCTTGGTTGTAGGGAGGGGTATTAGCAGTAGAAAGAGGGATGTGCTCATGCCATTGTAGAGAACACTGGTGAGACCTCACTTGGAGTATTGTACGCAGTACTGGAGACCGTATCTCCAGAAGAATATTGATAATTTAGAGAGAGTTCAGAGAAGGGCTACTAAACTGGTTCATGGATTCCAGGATAAAACTTACAAGGAAAGGTTAAAGGATCTTAAAGGACCACTATAGTGCCAGGAAAACATACTCGTTTTCCTGGCAATATAGTGCCCTGAGGGTGCCCCCACCCTCAGGGACCCCCTCCCGCCCGGCTCTGGAAGGGGGAAAGGGGTAATAACTTACCTTTTTCCAGCGCTGGGCGGAGAGCTCTCCTTCTCTCCTCCTCCGTTACGCCCTGCCGGCTGAATGCGCACGCGCAGCAAGAGCTGCGCGCGCATTCAGCCCGTCGCATAGGAAAGCATTTACAATGCTTTCCTATGGACGGTGGCGTGCTCTCACTGTGACACTCTAAACAACACAAACAGTACAGCTGGGTGTTCGGGTTACGTTACCAAGAGTCTCGGTGCACTGTCCCCTGATTTTATATCAAGACAATTAGGGGGCGGGAAAAACAGACAATGGGGATCTCCACCACACAGGCAATAATTTCAGCATACTTTGCATGCTGACACTGAACATGAAACAGATTCTATTATTGAATCAAATTGTGTTGGCAGCTCCAAGTCGTTGTCTAAAATACAGCCATCAAGAGGAATTTACATTGCAAAACTCGTCATCTGCAAGCCTGCAGTGGCAGTATTCTACATCTCAAAATCACTTTGTTACAATAAAACTATTTTGGTGTTTGGACTGTCCCTTAAAAAAAATTAAATAATAATTATGTATATATTATATATATATATATATATATATAAATAAACATAAACTATATACCCATGAATGGTGCACAGGTATGTAGAATGCTTTCTGATTCCTCTAGCAAGTGTTTGGGCTATTCAGTTTGTCAGGCTTCAAGGGACACTATAGTCACCTGAACAACTTTAGCTTAATTAAGTAGTTTTGGTGTATAGGACATGCCCCTGCAGCCTCACTGCTCAATCCTCTGCCATTTAGGAATTAAATCCCTTAGTTTACGAACCCTAGTCACACCTCCCTGCATGTGACTTGCACAGCCTTCCATAAACACTTCCTGTAAAGAGAGCCCTATTTAGGCTTTCTTTATTGCAAGTTCTGTTTAATTAAGATGTTCTTATCCCCTGCTATGTTAATAGCTTGCTAGACCCTGCAAGAGCCTCCTGTATGTGATTAAAGTTCAATTTAAAGATTGAGATACAATTATTTAAGGTAAATCACATCTGTTTGAAAGTGAAACCAGTTTTATTTTTCAAGCAGGCTCTGTCAATCATAACCAGGGGAGGTGTGGCTAGGGCTGCATAAACAGAAACAAAGTGATTTAACTCCTAAATGACAGTGAATTGAGCAGTGAAATTGCAGGGGAATGATCTATACACTAAAACTGCTTTATTTAGCTAAAGTAATTTAGGTGACTATAGTGTTTCTTTAATATTGATTTGCTTACACATGCATATATCACAAACCATGGGCACATAACAGATGCAATTTGAAACTTAGTATTGCAAATATACACAAAGAAAATATGAATTCACGACTGCATTTCTATTTCGTTGGAATTTTGGTCATTTGTTCGAATTAACATTTTTTGTACATTATCAGGCTCTATACATACACATAAATACCATGATTAATAATCAACACCCACAGCAAACATAGGTTTCATAACACAGATGCAATACGTTGGCATGGGTGGTGATTGGATCAACGTGACAATTCATGTCATGGAATTATCACACACAGTTAATCATTGCAACTGGAGGTGTTCCGGTATTGGGGCTATTCGCCAAAATAAAAATTGTACCAAATTAAAATCCAAAATACCAAAATTTAGGGGGAAAAAAACCACAACTTAATCTGGAAAAATTCTCCAAAAGACATGTAGTCACAGCTTGGCTATTTTATTATTTTTTTCCATTTTGATTTTAATGTGACACTATTCAAAGGTTAGTAAATAATTTGCATGTTTTATGTAAAGCATCTAAGAAGAACAGCAGATGTGACATATGCTAGCCAGTATGGTGCATTTCTGCATTTGAACGATTTTGGCTTTACATTTGTAACTCACTGGTCACTTGCTCTGCTAAAAAGCCTCCCCAAAGGAATAGGTAAAGTATCGAGTTTATGAACATTGCTGCAGTCACTTACATGCATGTTCAGTGAGTTTAGAAACATACAGAAACAGACATGTAGATAGCAATGCTGCATTCATTACATGTATGTTCAGTGAGTTTAGAAACATACAGAAGCAGACATGTAGATGGCAATGCTGCATTCATTACATGTATGTTCAGTGAGTTTAGAAACATACAGAATCAGACATGTAGATAGCAATGCTGCATTCATTACATGTATGTTCAGTGAGTTTAGAAACATACAGAAGCAGACATGTAGATGGCAATGCTGCATTCATTACATGTATGTTCAGTGAGTTTAGAAACATACAGAATCAGACATGTAGATAGCAATGCTGCATTCATTACATGTATGTTCAGTGAGTTTAGAAACATACAGAAGCAGACATGTAGATGGCAATGCTGCATTCATTACATGTATGTTCAGTGAGTTTAGAAACATACAGAAACAGACATGTAGATAGCAATGCTGCATTCATTACATGTATGTTCAGTGAGTTTAGAAACATACAGAAGCAGACATGTAGATGGCAATGCTGCATTCATTACATGTATGTTCAGTGAGTTTAGAAACATACAGAATCAGACATGTAGATAGCAATGCTGCATTCATTACATGTATGTTCAGTGAGTTTAGAAACATACAGAAGCATGCTCATTACATGTATGTTCAGTGCTGGCATCATGCCATGCTCACCTGGACCCCAGGGAAGGCATTTTTAATGAGATGATACATCTTCTTGTTGGACAGCGTGTCCCCCCTGGTCATCTTATCGTCTGCCCCCTCCTTGGTCTTCCCTTTCTGTTTCTCATTGAGGAGGTTACTCTTTCGGACTCTGGTCACCTCCTCCCCTCCCAGCTCGGCCGCCCTCACAGCCACCGCCAGCAGCTCCCGCAGCTCCACCATGCTGTCCGCGGCCGCAGGCTCCTGCCGGTCCCCCAGCAGGTAGGCGGACAGGCGGTTGGTCAGGAAGCCCGAGTAGACATGATAGAGCACCCCGAGACCCAGCAGGCAGAACACCCCGATACCCAGAGGGGACAGGCGGATCCCCATGGGCGCCATGGCTCAGGACACCGGCACTCCTGCACACACCTCCCCTGGCAGCCCGTTACACGGGCCCCGCCGCACTGCCAGCCTCGGCCCTCCCACCAGCGTGCCCAGGAAAGCGGAGTCAGCGTCCGCACTCAGACCGGCCCACCACTACTTCCGGGTCAGCCGCCATGTTGGGGGAGAGGAGGGGGCACCAGAGACTGACACACACAGAGACCCATTCACCTGGCACCCAGCTAGTTCCACAGAGACTGACACACACACAGAGCCCCATTCACCTGGCACCCAGCTAGTTACACAGACACAGACACTGACACACACAGAGACCCATTCACCTGGCACCCAGCTAGTTACACAGACACACACACAACCCCATTCACCTGGCACCCAGCTGGCTACACAGAGACTGACACACACACAGAGCCCCATTCACCTGGCACTCAGCTAGCTACACAGAGACTGACACACACAGAGCCCCATTCACCTGGCACCCAGCTGGCTACACAGAGACTGACACACACAGAGCCCCATTCACCTGGCACCAGCTAGCCACACAGAGACTGACACACACAGAGCCCACCCACCTGGCACCCAGCTAGACTGACACAGAGACTGACACACAGAGCACAACATTCACCTGGCACCCAGCTAGCTACACAGAGACTGACACACACAGAGCCCCATTCACCTGGCACTCAGCTAGCTACAGGACTGACACACAGAGATTCACCTGGCACCCAGCTACATACACAGATTGACTTCACCTGGCACAGCAGCTGCCACAGACTGACACACACAGAGCCCCATTCACCTGGCACCCAGCTGGCTACACAGAGACTGACACACACAGTGGCACTGCTACACAGAGACACAGAGCCCCATTCACCTGGCACCCAGCTATTGGCTACACAGAGACTGACACACACAGAGCCCCATTCACCTGGCACCCAGCTAGCTACATACGGAGACTGACACACACAGAGCCCCATTCACCTGGCACCCAGCTAGCTACACAGAGACTGACACACACACAGCCTCATTCACCTGGCACCCAGCTAGCTAACAGAGACTGACACACACAGAGCCCCATTCACCTGGCACCCAGCTAGCTACACAGAGACTGACACACACAGAGACTGACACACACAGAGCCCCATTCACCTGGCACACAGCTAGCTACACAGAGACTGACACACACACAGCCCCATTCACCTGGCACCCAGCTAGCTACACAGAGACTGACACACACAGAGCCCCATTCACCTGGCACCCAGCTAGCTACACAGAGACTGACACACACACAGCCTCATTCACCTGGCACCCAGCTAGCTACACAGAGATTGACACACACAGAGCCCCATTCACCTGGCACCCAGCTAGCCACACAGAGCTCCATTCACCTGGCACTCAGCTAGCTACACAGAGACTGACACACACACAGCCCCATTCACCTGGCACCCAGCTAGCTACACAGAGACTGACACACACACAGCCCCATTCACCTGGCACTCAGCTAGCTACACAGAGACTGACACACACAGAGCCCCATTCACCTGGCACCCAGCTAGCTACACAGAGACTGACACACACAGAGCCCCATTCACCTGGCACCCAGCTAGCTATACAGAGACTGACACACACAGAGCCCCATTCACCTGGCACCCAGCTAGCTACACAGAGACTGACACACACAGAGCCCCATTCACCTGGCACCCAGCTAGCTACACGGAGACTGACACACACACAGCCCCATTCACCTGGCACCCAGCTAGCTACACGGAGACTGACACACACACAGCCCCATTCACCTGGCACCCAGCTAGCTACACGGAGACTGACACACACACAGCCCCATTCACTTGGCACCCAGCTAGCTAAACAGAGACTGACACACACAGAGCCCCATTCACTTGGCACCCAGCTAGCTACACGGAGACTGACACACACAGAGCTCCATTCACCTGGCACCCAGCTAGCTACACGGAGACTGACACACACACAGAGCCCCATTCACCTGGCACCCAGCTAGCTACACAGAGACTGACACACACACAGCCCCATTCACCTGGCACTCAGCTAGCTACACAGAGACTGACACACACAGAGCCCCATTCACCTGGCACCCAGCTAGCTACACAGAGACTGACACACACAGAGCCCCATTCACCTGGCACCCAGCTAGCTACACAGAGACTGACACACACAGAGCCCCATTCACCTGGCACCCAGCTAGCTACACAGAGACTGACACACACAGAGCCCCATTCACCTGGCACCCAGCTAGCTACACAGAGACTGACACACACAGAGCCCCATTCACCTGGCACCCAGCTAGCTACACAGAGACTGACACACACAGAGCCCCATTCACCTGGCACCCAGCTAGCTACACAGAGACTGACACACACACAGCCCCATTCACCTGGCACCCAGCTAGCTACACAGAGACTGACACACACAGAGCCCCATTCACCTGGCACCCAGCTAGCAGCTAGCTACACAGAGACTGACACACACAGAGACTGAGCCCCATTCACCTGGCACCCAGCTAGCTACACAGAGACTGACACACACAGAGCCCCATTCACCTGGCACCCAGCTAGCTACACAGAGACTGACACACACAGAGCCCCATTCACCTGGCACCCAGCTAGCTACACAGAGACTGACACACACAGAGCCCCATTCACCTGGCACCCAGCTAGCTACACAGAGACTGACACACACAGAGCCCCATTCACCTGGCACCCAGCTAGCTACACAGAGACTGACACACACAGAGCCCCATTCACCTGGCACCACAGCTAGCTACACAGAGACTGACACACACACAGCCCCATTCACCTGGCACCCAGCTAGCTACACGGAGACTGACTTCACCTGGCACCCAGCACAGAGACTGACACACACAGAGCCCCATTCACCTGGCACCCAGCTAGCTACACAGAGACTGACACACACAGAGCCCCATTCACCTGGCACCCAGCTAGCTATACAGAGACTGACACACACAGAGCTCCATTCACCTGGCACCCAGCTAGCTACACAGAGACTGACACACACAGAGCCCCATTCACCTGGCACCCAGCTAGCTACACAGAGACTGACACACACAGAGCCCCATTCACCTGGCACCCAGCTAGCTACACAGAGACTGACACACACAGAGCCCCATTCACCTGGCACCCAGCTAGCTACACAGAGACTGACACACACACAGCCCCATTCACCTGGCACCCAGCTAGCTACACAGAGACTGACACACACACAGCCCCATTCACCTGGCACCCAGCTAGCTACACAGAGACTGACACACAGAGACTGACACACACAGAGCCCCATTCACCTGGCACCCAGCTAGCTACACAGAGACTGACACACACAGAGCCCCATTCACCTGGCACTCAGCTAGCTACACAGAGACTGACACACACACAGAGCCCCATTCACCTGGCACCCAGCTAGCTACACAGAGACTGACACACACGTAGCTCCATTCACCTGGCACCCAGCTAGCTACACAGAGACTGACACACACAGAGCCCCATTCACCTGGCACCCAGCTAGCTACACAGAGACTGACACACACAGAGCTCCATTCACCTGGCACTCAGCTAGCTAAACAGAGACTGACACACACAGAGCTCCATTCACCTGGCACCCAGCTAGCTACACAGAGACTGACACACACAGACCCCCATTCACCTGGCACTCAGCTAGCTGACCAGAGACTGTACAGGAGCTGCTGTGTTACATTCCCAATTGGAATGAGAGATTTCACTGCCTGTCTGTGTGCTTTGTGTTAGTGTTTCATATAAAAATGACTGTGTTCTGTGTTTGTGTTTCATATAATGCCTGTGTGCTGTGTGTTATTGTGTCATATAATGCCTGTGTGATTTTTATAAGGATTCTCAAAGCACCATAAGCACGTGGATGTGGTACCAGGTGTACCCTCCCACTGTAATAGAATTCTCGGGTCAGAGATCAAACAAGGACACAGGTCCTTGAAGAACAAAGGCTATTTATTGTTTTGCAGCTGCAAAGGTCTCAGTCAGACAATAGTCTTGAGCACACTTTTACAAGAGAACAAAAATATATACCACAAATGACATATTCCATACTTATAAAGAGAATACAAAAATTACACCTACATTACTATAGTTACATCCAATTTTTAAACTAAAACGTATCTCTTACATACATTATCTAATAGTGGGTGTTCCTGACCTTCCACACACACACGTCCTGGTTCATACCAATCTAGTCTTGGGTGCTAGGCAAGTGAGGTTACACAGTATCTTCCTGATTAAAGGAATACTATAATCACCTAAATGATTTTAGCTAAATAAAGCAGTTTTAGTGTATAGATCATTCCCCTGCAATTTCACTGCTCAATTCTCTGCCATTTAGAAGTTAGATCACTTTGTTTCTGTTTATGCAGCCCTAGCCACACCTCCCCTGGCTATGATTGACAGAGCCTGCATGAAAAAAAAAAAACAGTTTCACTTTCAAACAGATGTAATTTACCACTCTAGGCACCCAGACCACTTCAGCTTAATGAAGTGGTCTGGGTGCCAGGTCCCTCTAGGATTAACCCTTTTTTTTTTTTTTTACAATCATAGCAGTTTCAGAGAAACTGCTATGTTTATAAATGAGTTAATCCAGCCTCTCGTGGCTGTCTCATTGACAGCCACTAGAGGCGTTTGCTTGCTTCTCACTGTGAAAATCCCAGTGAGAAGACGCCAGCGTCCATAGGAAAGCATTATGAATGCTTTTCTATGAGAATGGCTGAATGCGCATTCACCCGAAGAGGAGGAGAACTTCTCGACCGACGCTGGAAAAAAGGTAAGTTTTAACCCTTGCCATCCAGCCCGGCGGGAGGGGGACCCTGAGGGTGGGGGCACCCTCAGGGCTCTATAGTGCCAGGAAAACGAGTATGTTTTCCTGGCACTAGAGTGGTCCTTTAAATAATTGTATCTCAATCTCTAAATTGAACTTTAATCACATACAGGAGGCTCTTGCAGGGTCTAGCAAGCTATTAACATAGCAGGGGATAAGAAAATCTTAATTAAACAGAACTTGCAATAAAGAAAGCCTAAATAGGGCTCTCTTTACAGGAAGTGTTTATGGAAGGCTGTGCAAGTCACATGCAGGGAGGTGTGACTAGGGTTCATAAACAAAGGGATTTAACTCCTAAATGGCAGAGGATTGAGCA